GTTTGGGCAATTCTCCTGCCTCAGCCTCCTGAGTAGCTGGGATTACAGGCGCCCACCAACCACGCCTGGCTAATTTTTGTATTTTTAGTAGAGATGGGGTTTCACCATGTTGGCCAGGCTGGTCTCGAACTCCTGACCTCGTGATCCACCCGCCTCAGCCTCCCAAAGTTCTGGGATTACAGGCATGAGCCACTGCACTCAGCCCCAGCCCAGACTTGCATTTTTAAGAATTGCTAGGAACTTAAGGAAAGTAGAATATGGTGGTAAAAAACTTCTGGGAAAAGGAAAAAAACCACTAGAATTTAGGTGAATTTTTGACATTGCCATCCAATCTGAGGAATGACTTTATTAGCAAAAAACACCAGCCTCCCTCTTCCAATTTGTCAAGAGAGCACATTTCCTACCAGTGGAATTCTTGCAGAGATTCTGCGTACTGTTATGCAGATTGTGCACTGCACAACTCCAGAGGATACCATTCACATTGCCATCTATGTGATGTGCCAAATGGTCCCTCCTGGCAGAGATCTATTGTATGGTTCATAATCCTGGCACTATACAGGGCACAATCTGTACAGCCACATGCTGAGGTCCTGACTGGCACTCTCTGTATGACTTTTCTCTGATAAAGACACAATTCCTCTGCTGCCATTCGGGCTGCTTCATTTGACAATGTCTACAGATAGTTCAGGATAATCTTCATTTCAAATATACATTCACCTACTTTCTGTAAGCACTGTAGTATTTGTCAAGACATGTGTCCTGGTTTCAGGTTTGGAAAATAGGTCATTGGAGATATCTTTTAAGTGCTATTTTGCCTATATTTTGCCATTTCATTTTTTTTTTATTGAGGAAAATGTTGAAAACAAATAAAATCTCATGGTTTGCTAGAAAATAAAAACATTTAATATGTTAATTTTTTAAAGGAACCATTTTCATTAAAATATAGCTCCGTAAGTGAAAGTGAGAAGAAAATGATTTTAGGTGTACATAGAATCCATGCCAAAATATCTACACATATAGACTAGTAAGTTAAGATTAATCCATTGGCTCTACAGAAATAAAAAAGAACTACCATGTACCCAAGAAGGCCAACCTGCCTAATAGAGATAGACCTTGGTTTTTAATTAGTGTAAGAACGAACTTTATATCCCCCAACAAGGAAGGTGAGGAAAAGATTCAGAGACATTTTTATACTATATTTCTCATGGTTTCTAGAATGAAATCCATAGTCTTCAAGCTGGGAGAAGCTTTTTAGTTCCCTCGTTATTTATTCATTTAATCAGTTGCTACTATTTGCCAAACACTGTGATCACGTGTCTGGGCTCCTTCATGAGGAAACTGTGGTCGTAAAGTTGGTTAGCGATAAGGCCAGAAACAAACCCCAGATATTCTGTATCCAGGACACTTTACCCCACAGGGCTGTTAAATATCTCCATGTATTTATGGTCAGGTGATGAAATAGGAGAACATCTGTGTACTGCATGTGACCTGCATGTAATTCATGTAATAAAGATGAAATACAACCCTTTGCCAGCCATTTCTTTATTACTCTAAATGCCACAACTTAAGGCTCAGCATCAGGGCTAATAACGTAAGAATTAGTTCGGGAATTCTGCAAATAAATATTTTCCTATTCATACTCTTTGATTCAAATATTTCAATCATGTCCTTTCTCAAATGTTGCCTTTACAGATTAAAGTCCTATAAATAGCACCGACCCCTGAGGAATACGATCTTCTTACCCTTACCTTTGAGTATTAATCTAGACAGTTTCCTATGGATGACAAAATAAATACCCCAATCTCCTGGTGGCTTTCTTTTTGAAGGATTTGTTTTTTGGGGTGGAACACACAGCACATAGTTCATAACAATGTGAAACTGCATTTTTGGAAGTGTCTGTACTCTTCCTTTACACAATTAAATATCCCTACTTGCTAAATATTGCTGGATTTGGTGGTTGAGGAGGTTGAGCACATGTAAGCAAAGGGGAACAGCTGTTCTTGCCAGATGCCGTCTTCACTGCACGGACATAAATACTGCCAAAGGAGCCTCTGCAGGGCAGACTGAGATCTAGCTTGAAGTTGCTGCAAGGAAACCCTTTCTGACATTTTTGCTTTGTAAATTCATCCATGAAATAATATGCAAGGGTCAATGCAAACTACTCAGGTTCAAATCCTGGCTCTGCCATCTACCTTACCAGCTTTTTGACATTGGGCAAGTTACTAAACCTTACTGTCTTCAGCCTCCTCATCTGTAAGTGGGGATAATAGTAGTTTCTTCATAGGATCTTTGAGGATTACACGAATTAGATATTATCCTTAATAATTCCAGCAACAAATACCTGTTAAGCTCCTATTCCATTCCATGTACCATGAATGAGGGAAATTGTCCCTCTCTCCACGGAATTTAGAGTATTTCTTTCACACCAAAAGCCCTGACCTATCTAAGGGTTAGGAAGTCAATGCAGTAAAGTGTGACCAGATTTTGTTTTAAATGAACTAGAATAAGATTTTACAAAATAAGTGCTTTATGAAACTTTCTTTCCCTTGCATATATTTTTATATGAATATGTGGCCTATGTCTTGATATAAAATGTATTTCTCACCATGATTCTAGTAGAGAAGATGAGCAATTAAACAGCAACCTTGACACAGTGCATAAGATTGATGCAGTGAGTGTCATGGGCACACGCAAATGTCACCTGACCCAGTAAGGGCAGGTACAAAGAATCAGGCAAGCCTTCCCTGAGGAAGTAACATTTAAGCTGAGACTTGAAGAATGAGTAAAAATTTACCAAAAGAAGTGGGGTGGAAGAGGAGAAGTAGTTCCTTTAAGAGCAGTGAGTAGACCTGGGTGGGTAGAGGAGTAGTTAATGAAGCAAGAGACTTGTTCAGGTTTGCATTTTAGGAAGGCCACTCTGGCTGCATGAGGAGAATGGGCAGGGATCAGTCAAGAAACTATTTAGTAATTTAAGGACACAGTGGCCTAGACTAGGGTGGGGACAGTGGGTATTTAAGAGGGACCTTGTATTTAGGTAGAATTGACAGGACTTGTTGATTGATGGGGAAAGGTGCTGCAGCCAAAGCATGAAGGTGCTTATTCCACACCTCGGATGTCTAATTTTCAAAGGTTTCAGGAGACACTAAGTCTCCAAGCCCCTAACTTGAAAAAATGTTCCTGTAAACAGGAAGACAGAATATTTCAATCACTTTGCAAATCATCTCCCTATCCTGCTGGACATATCTGCAGGCTGTTGCTGGGCCTAGGAGTTGGCAGGGCTTCCTGTTCCAAAGAGGGAGGGCTCCTGGCAGGAGATGGAAGGCTGGAAACAGAAAGGAAACTGGGCTAGCCAGGCACCTTGCATGAAGAGAAAAGAAAAAGGGAAACCTGGTATTTTCCCATCTGATCCAGAAATATCTGTTGGGAAAACAATTTAAAAGCACAGGTAATTCAAAGATGTTTATATTTGGCTTTGAAATGCCATGCATTTTTGGCAGTAGACTGACTTTCCCAAACATTTGTCTTAGGCCTTATTTTGCATTCCCTGAACATGGACCATCTGGGCAACAGGGGGATGAGCCCAGAGCTCAGAGGGAGTCTGGGTGGGTGGCTTAGGAGGCCCTAATGTTCAAAACTTGGAATGAAACCACAATCTCCCTTATCACCCCAGGTAATCAGTACTTAAATGTCTACCTGTGTCCTGCCACAGAGCAGGGAGCTTTTTGTGATCTAAGCCCTGCCAGGTCATATGGTGACCTGAAAAACAGCTATCTAATTCCCAGCATACCAATGTTTCCTACTCATATCTTCCAACTCACAGGCCCACCTCCACCCCGCTGGAGTGGCAGGCAGGGCCCCACAGCAATCTCAAAATCAAACCATCTTTGGGGCACAAGACAGGCTATTTACAGATGTTACAGTAAAAGACAATTTAAATCACCATCAGTACCGTTTTACAAAAGAGTTGGCCAGACTAGAAGGCCCCTTTTCATGTTATTCCTAAGATTTCTGCTTCCAGAGGAGCTGAAAGGTTAGATTATCTTCCCTAGCTCAGGTATACCTAGGACAGGAGAGTCGTGCCTCACAGAAATCACTTCAAAAAGGGTTTTAGCACCACATCCCACCACGGCTTAGAAGAATTCTCAGGGTGGCAGCCACTCCCTACTTAGGAATCCTGTGCATTCCCCTTTTCTTCCATCTGGACTGTGCCACGCCAGGGAAGTCATTTGGTCCAGGCTAGAATTCACTGGGAATAATTAGCAACAGGCCCAAATCTGGAAATTCAGAGAAACTGGTTCTCTCTAGTTTGTTATAAAATTAATATTTTTCATAATCACCACAGAGAAAAGGGCATTTCCTAGTTTCCCAGTTCTTACAGGTCACAATGGTTGGTTCACAGGAAATCCTTAGTAGGCGCTCTGTGACGCATCCGTGTCTTTCCAAGTGTTGGTATTTTTCATTTCACAGAACCTTCTTCCAAAGATGAGCTGACAGACTCAGGAAGCCCGTGTGTTTTCGAAAACGCCAGCATAGGTTTCTTTGACTCAGTTACCTGAAATATTTAGGGAAGCAAAGGCAGTGATGTGCCAGGGGCACCCTCACCTGATGTCTACCTCTTCCCCTCCTTTAAGGTCCCCTTGATTGGAGGTGGCGGAGAGTCTCTGGTGGCTCGCCCAACCCTTTAGAACAGATTTCCCCCCGCCCCGCGCTCCCCTGCTCCCCTTCCCCCCGGCCCACTGCCACACAGCAGTCCTCTCTCGCCCTCACCCTCCTTTCCCCATACACACCTCGCTGAGGTCATCCTCAGTGTGCAGCCCAGAGGGGAAAGGAAACTCGAGCTAAAGCAACAGGTTCCACCCACAGTCTGAACTTGGAAGGGGATGCGGCAGTGGCGGGGCGGTGGAGCTGCGCGGTGGAGGGAGAGGAAGTGGCGGGGAGGAAGGTGGAAGGGAAATGATGGTGCACGACCACCGAGCACGTCACTCGGGCTCCCACATGGGCTTGTGTATGTGCGTGTGTGAGGGGAGGGAGGTCCTTCACAGGGTCACTCGGGCACTTCCGCGTGGAATAGGAGGCGCCAGGCTCGTGCTTTTGGGGTCCCGGGTGGCTTCGGCGGGTTAACAAGTCACGCAGAGAGGGCTTGAGGCACGCCAAGAAAATACCGGTGTTGGCGTGAAAATACAGCACTCTCCCCAGCGCGCCGCCCTGGCTGACTGGCTGAGTCTGCGTCCCTAACGCCCATTGCCCCCTTCTTTTGGGCCTATCCTGGGTCCCTCCAACCTCATCCCAGCCTGCCTCCCGCTCCAGCCTGCTGCCGCGAAAACCGGGACTGCGGACTACGCCGCGCCCGGCAGCCTCTGGGCATGCTCGGTGGCGGGACCGGCTCCGCCGCCAGGAGGGCGCGTCCTCCCTCCCCCAGGGCGGTGGCGGCGCCTGCAGCGACTGCCGCCGCCGCGCCCCGGCCAGGCACACCTTTTGGGGAGGCGGGTGACCACCCTGACCGGCGCGGGCTGAGAACGCCGCAGACCCCGAGCCTTCCGGCGGGTGGGAGGAAGAGCCGGCCGGGGAGGCGCGGAGGCGGGAGAGAGACCTCCGACTGCCCGGCGTTCCTTAGAAAGTAAAGCTCAGCTCGCGCGGACCCGGGCTCCCAGCCGCGGGCGGGGAAGGGGCGGGGCCGGGCGGGGGTGGCGCTGAGCGAGGTGCGAAATTAGTAGCCGCCCACCCCCTTCTCAGTTCCCGCCTCCAGGGAATTATAATTTCCTGGGAAAGTGTCTGGTTCTCGGAGAATCCTTGGGGCGGGGTAAAGGGGCGCGCCCGGCGCAAAATGGTTAATACAAAGTCTGCGCGCGCCGCGGGGCCCCTTGTATGAAAAGTGTGTGCGCCGGTGGCTGGGCACCCCTTTGCTAATTTGAGGGTTAGTTACCGGCAGGAAGTCTGGTTGTGCGAGAGGAAAGGCGGGCAGGAGGGAAGCCTCAGGCTGGTGCAGGCTCCCGCCCCCCAGGCCTCCTTGGGGGACGCACCTCGGACCCTGCGGGCGCAGGGTGCAGGGCACTGGGCCGGGGCGTTCGCGGCGGGCGGCGGGAGGCTGGAGCAAGCTCGGCCCAGCGGCTCACTCTCTACCTCCTCCCCCCAGGATTACCGAGAGGATGGGATGGATCTAGGCAGTGACGCCGGCAGCAGCAGCAACAGCAGCCGCGCCAGTTCACAGTCCAACTCCACCAAAGTGACCCCTTGCTCCGAGTGCAAATCTTCATCGTCGCCTGGGGGCAGCCTGGACTTGGTGTCTGCCCTGGAGGACTATGAGGAGCGCTTCCCGGTCTACCAGAAGAAGGTGATTGATGAGTGGGCGCCGGAGGAGGACGGGGAGGAGGAGGAAGAGGAGGACGAGCGCCATCAGCGAGGGTACCGGGATGACCGCTGTCCGGCCCGGGAACCGGGGGACTTAAGCGCCAGGACCCGCAGCGGCGGCGGCGGGGACAGGAGCGCCACCACCGCCATGCCGCCCCCGGTGCCCAACGGCAACCTCCACCAGCACGACCCCCAGGACCTCAGGCACAATGGCAACGTGGTTGTGGCTGGCCGGCCGAGCAGTTCCCGGGGTCCCCGCCGGGCGATCCAAAAGCCCCAGCCGGCTGGGGGCCGGCGGGATGGCCGCAGCCCGGCTACTGGGGGGCTCTGCCTTCAGCCCCCGGACGGCGGGACATGCGTCCCCGAAGAGCCCCCGGTGCCACCTATGGACTGGGAAGCGCTGGAGAAGCATCTGGCCGGGCTGCAGTTCCGGGAGCAGGAGGTACGGAACCAGGGCCAGGCGAGGACCAACTCCACCTCCGTAAGTTGGCCGGGATGCGTGCCCACGCGCGCACACACGCGTACACACCCCGCGCACAGCCCGCACGCCCCCTCACTGCGCTTCCTCCCGCCCGCGGCCCCATTCATCCTTCCCCGAGGGTAGTGGCTGGGCCGGCGAGCTTGTCGTCTGCTCCCCTGGGGATAAGGTTGCTCAGTCTTTGAGCTGTCTGGGTTTGCAGGATGGGCGGAGAGGAGGGAGGAGCAGCCAGAGGGCAGCGGAAAGTCGGGTTAGTGGAACCGGCGACTCATTTTAATGGAATTACTTATGGAGACCAGGTTGTGAGTCACTTGCCTGAAAATAAATCCGGGGAGATTCTGGCACCCAAAGTCAGTGCCTGCGGGGGATATTTCAAGTCGTAATAGTTGTGGCTTTGTCAATCGTGGTGTCTCTCCTCTCGTTGCCACTAATGTCTGATCCATATATAGGCAGTCCCTCTGCACACGCACACATTCGCCTGCCCACACCACCGGTCTGGCAGCGGGGTTGGTTCTGTCTTGCGTTAAGTAGATACTCCTGTATTTGGATGGGTTGATTTTCCTTCTCTAAGACTTTCTTCCTTTATGAAACACGAGTTATTGTTGACCTGGGGGAAAGGGGTAAATGGACCTGTCAGGATAAGGGAGGGGTTCTTGGTCGCCTGACTCACTCCCTCTGCTGTGAATCCCTCGTTTTGATAAGGGAGCCCCTTACAGTTTCTTACCAGAGGCTACTTCCTCAATTCAGGAAAGCCAGACAGGGAGGGGTGCTGGAGTGGAAAAGGGGGAGGAAGAGGAGGGCTGCATCTATAATAAGAAGCTCTGGCAGGTTCACACTTGTCTCAACATCTTTTTTGCCCCTGAGAGAAGAGCAGATAAATGACTTAAAAGAAAACCATCTTGAATGTAGCTCCCCTTTTTAGCACTGTTTTGAGATAAAGCAACAGTTGTAATTTGAAATCATTAATGATGACCCTAATTAGGGCTGAAGAGCACAGTTGAAAGGAGCTTTCTGTGTGTGGCAGCTGTGTGGCAGGTGGGAAAATGCTTGACTTGCAGGTGTAATTTTTGCGACACCAGGACCCTGGGGCTCCTGAAAATTGGGTGCATGCACTTCTGACTTCAGGGGTAAGGATGGTAACTGTGTTTCACAGAGAAATTGCCATGTTTTCTATCAGAGAGACCCTTGGCTGACAGAGCCCACTGGTTAGTTTCCCTTGGGAAACCACTTATTAAATTAAATATACTCATTTTAATCCCAGCTGTTTAGGAGTTTACCATGGCCACTAACAGACATGGAATCTTTCCATTGCAGCCAATACTATCTCTTGTACCTTGCAATTGAAAACACCCTTTTCCCACTTTGCGCTTGAGAAAAATACCTCATTAATACCTGGACTTGAACAATGACTGGGAAATAAGCAAGAGGTTAGTTTACTATTGCATGACATTTGTACATTCCAGGAAAACTTAATAATTGGGTATACATGCAAAGTTAGGGTTTGATGGTGACGACGAGCTCCATTATTCAAAAGTTATGAAACAAAATTTTTTTGAGCACCCATGTATGTGATGTGTGCCAGGGATGGTTCTGAGTGCTGTAGTTACACATCAGTCCACATGGGGCTAAAATTCTGGTAAGGGAAGGTAAGAATACAGACTGCCTTCCCTCCAGGAACTTAAAATTTGATGGCTTACCTAGCACCACCTCACACTCCCACCCCCAACACACACACATACCTCTTCTGGTTATTGTGAAGACTATGAATCTTTCCTTCTTGGGCAGTCTTTGAAACCATGGTGTATCCTCACCTAGTGAACAGTTTGCATATTTGCATATTGGAGTTTCTTTCTTTCACTCCCAGCTTTCCTGAAAATGCCCCTTCTAGTCATTTCCCCTACAAGTTACACAGAGAGATTTAGATTTCAGTGTGTCAAAGCAAGGATGTGTACAGAAAAAAGGAAGAGGGAGATGGCCTTTTAGGTTAATGCTGGACTTTTTCGTGTTTTGGTTTGTGTTTGAACAAAATTACTAGTCACTAGTCAATGTTGGTTTAGAATAGTGTTTTTCAAACTGTAAGTTACCCCTGAAGTCACCTTAGCATTTTTAAAAAATTAAATAAAATAGAATATATGATAATGTACTGCAGGGAGTCATAGTAAAGTTGGTGATTTTTAAAACTTTTGTTTAGTTTTTTACGCTGGGTTGCAACATAAAGTTTATTTCTCACTATGGGTTGCTGTTATAAAAGATTGAAAAGCAGTGATTTAAACCCTGTTTAGTGTTGCCTGGAATAAGTAAGGGAATTTATGATCATGAGGACAGAAACCTGAGAAGAACAAAGGAGTCATGTGGAAGAGACGGCCTGTCTTGAAGGAATTGTTCAAATCCAATGATATTTTACTCCTCTTTAAAATGTCTTGTAGGAATACATTTAAGTGACATTAATACACACCACTAGGAGGGGGGTACACAATGAAAAGTGGATAGGTTCTCTTCACCAAGTAAGCCTATTCCCACTTCAGGGCTTTCACCTATCTGTTACCTCTGCTTGGAAGCAAGTGTCTGGTTCCTTATCAACTCAGCTCAACTCTCACGGTCTCAGAGAAGCTGCCCACCCACCTTCCTGAAGTAAAGTAACAGCACTCCACTCCAACTCAAGCACTCCTGATGTGTTGTTTTCCAGTGCTTGTCGCTCTCTGACATTATGTGATTTAGTTCTCTATTTTTGTTATCTCTGAAATGTAGGCAGGAGTGCAGGGTTCTTGCCTGTTTTTAAATTCTATAACCTATTGCATGGGACATGCCTGGGGTGGAGTAGTTTCTCAAATATCAAATGAATGAATGAATGAATGAATGGTTTGTAACAACAACACAACCCAGACCTAATCCAACTCCCTAATTTTACAGTTGAGAAAATGGAGACCCAGAGAAGTTAAGTGATTTGCCTCGGGCCCAGTGAGAAACTTACGAATGGGGTATTGTTCTTTCTTCTGACAGCAGACTAGTTCCCCCCCACCCCCTGCGTTTTAATGCTTAAAATAGTTTGAAATAAAAGTAAAGGAAGGCGCTCCCACCTCCCTAAAACTTAAAGGGTTTCCTATTGACAAGTCCCTTATTGCACTCCCTTAGAATTAAGGACATAAGTGAACTGGAAATCATCAAAATCCCCTAACTTATGAGTCTCCTTTCACAGACAGTGTTTTATATTGTTTTGTTTTAATGATATACTGTTCTACAGAGCAGAATAGTGACAGAATCCAGGTCTCTTAACTCCATATCCAGTGCTCTTTCCTTCCACTCAGTTGCTGTGATGCACGCAGAAAGATGACTGAGGTCTCAACAATGGGATGGCAATCTGCTGTCCCTAATTCAGGGAAGATTGAGAGGCAAATTTAAAAACACGCAATGTTTAGGTGGGATTTAAAAGCTAGCACTGACCTTCACTTTGTGATGGGTTTAAACAGCTAATCTCTCTCTTGGTATCTGTGAAGGGTGATGAGCTTGGATGCTGTCAGGAACTGTCTTTG